TTGGAGCAGGCACCCGCTCAGTGAAGGGAGGGGGCGTGTGGTTTCAGTTAGTGAGAGCTTTCCAGAGAAGAGGGGGAGTCCTGCAGGATGAACAGGAGCTCACCAACCCAAGACAGAAGTGCGAGTTCTAGGCAGAGGGAACGGCGTGGGCTAACACCTGGAGGCTTGCGGGGAAGAGGAGAGGGTATGGAATGGTGGGAGAGGAGGCCCAAAAGGTGATTTTTACCCCTTTGGGTAATGGAGGCCATTGCAAGTTTTTAAGCGATGAACTGACACTGCCGCATTTACATACTGGAAAGCTCACCCAGGTTGCAAAATGGTTTGGAGTGGGAAGACTACTAGTTAGGAAGCTGTTGTAATAACCCAGGTGAAGAATAACTAGGCCTTACTGCCTAAGGAGGCAGTAATCTTCCTTCCCATGGGTATCAAGCAGAGTAGTCCTATTCTAGCTTTATTTTCACAACTATCCTGGGAGGGTCCTGATGGATCGTTTTTCCTTGAGGGTAGTATACTTAGTAAGCTAAAGCTTCTCAAACTTTTATACCAAACTTCCGCTAATATTAGATGAGGAAGAACACTATTCTTCTCAGGATCAACATTTCTTTTTTTTTTGTGATGAAGATTGGCCCAGAGCTAACATCCAATGCCAATCCTCCTCTTTTTGCTGAGGAAGACTGGCCCTGGTCTAACATCTGTGCCAATCTTCCTCTACTTTACATGGGACACCGCTACAGCGTGGCTTTGATAAGTGGTGCGTCTGTGCGCGGTGGGGATCTGAACCTGTGAACCCCGGGCCACCAAAGCAGAGTGTGCGCACTTAACCGCTTGGGCCACCGGGCTGGCCCCAGGATCAGCATTTCTTTAGTCTCCTGTTTTATCTAGGAAATTGTGTGAATTTGCATTCTACTCCAAAATTTATCTTTGCCTGATTTAATATAAAGAATTTTTAAAATTACTTACCATGTGAATGTACTTAATGTCACTGAACTACACACTTAAAAAGTGATTAAAATGGTAAATTTTATGTTAGGTATATTTTACCACAATAAAAAAAATTACCAGTTTACATTTCTTAAATTTTCCCACCAAATCTTCAGGTAAGTCTACGCTCTGCGAACAGGTGCTATATTTATTCTGAGACAACCCGTTCCCTCCTTAAACAGGATCTTAGGCCTGGGGGTTTGCCTCCTTCCTCCCCTACTCCCCCTTTTTTGCATATGATGATTTTGTTTCTTAAATTCAAGTATAATTTACATACAGTAAAATGCACAGATCTTAGGGTTTGAGGAGTTTTGACAAGTGTAGCAGCACCTAGTATAGATTAGAATGTTTCCCTCACCCCAGGAAGTTCCCTCCTGCCCCTTCCCTTGCAGTCCCCTCTCTCCCAGAGGCAACCACTCTTCTTATTTTTCACACCACGCATTAGTTTTGCCTGTTCCTGCAGAATGTACCCTTTTCTGTCTGGCTCCTTTCTCTCAACATGATGTTTTTGCACCTCGTTTTTGAGAAGCCCAGATTTGAGGAGTCGGTGCCCTTCTGTCTCTCATTTCGCAGCGTTTGCTGTGATTTGCTTTTCCACCGTGGTCGCAGAAAGGGCGTGGGATTTGGAGCCTCAAGTACATGCTCTTCTGCTTGCTGTCCCTGTGGCCTTGAGCAAGTCACTTGGCTTTTTCAGACCTATTTTCTCCTCTGTCAATGGGCCTATTGTGAGGACTGAATGAAATAATATTATTGGAAGGGCTTTGTGTGATAGTTAAGCGGAATGAGGCAAGCCTTTCCTGTTGGTCAGGGGAGATGGAGGAAATAGGTGTATGGCTACTTACCAGCCTCTGCTTGTCTTAACAGGTCACCTTTGGCTCTTCCGAGATGCAGGGACATATGATGGGCTTCTGGTTAACCAAACTGAACTCTTTGTGCCATCTCTCAATGTTGATGGACAGCCTATTTTTGCCAGCATCACACTGCCAGGTACTAATGTTCCATGTCACTTTTTAAAGAGACAAGGCTGTTGTAATAAGTAGAGGATAGGCCACTTGAAGGAGCCAAGGCCTTACTGATTTTCCCCTGATGCTACGCCCTTTCTGTGCCCTATTCTACACCATAAATAATTTATTTGTATGCTCTGTATTGAACAAAGATGCTGTGGTATCTCATAGCTCTTTGGGCTTGTCAGAGGTGGACTGAATTAAAATATCTGATTGTAGAATTATGAATGCATTTTGTTTCCCTGGGCTTAGAGCAGAATTATGCCCTGGAGTCCCAGGGGAAGAACAAGATGTAGAGAACGAGATATCATGTCTTATTTATATGACTTCTAGTGTTGTATCTTTTAATGTTATTTAACCTGGTTAAGCTCACAGTGCCAGTTAGGGGTTAAATAAATCACCAAATTAAACATTAGGATTATAGTTAACTATTTATTTAAGACTCAGAAGATTTTATTAGGTTGAACCCTAAGAAACTGATGTTCCTGTGGGTTAAAAAAAAAAAACCAAAATACCTGCAGCTTCATAGGGTCCAAACTAATATGTGTATATAGATCCTGTTTTAAGGAAGTGGGTATACAGAAATGAGCACTGATAAGTTAAATGTAAATTTTACCTTATAGGATACCCTTAAAGAGTAAGTTCCACAGTGAGTTTAGCATAGGGTTTGAGTTACTCTCAAATCCAGTTACACAGTTTGGGTTATCTATTGCTGTGTG